TACCCCCTATACCACCACTATACCGCCCGATACCCCCCCTATACTCCAACCCCAACCCCCCCATACCCTTCCCCATCCCCAAAAGTTTCTCAGCGGATTTGGGCTGTACTCAGCAAGCGCAGTACAGCCCCCAACTCAGATTTGAAACAAAAACAGTCGATGGTTGTTTTCTGACTGGTCGGCAGACCGCCGACCGGTCGGCCTTACTGGTCGGCTGAAATACGGTTGGCGGTGGGCAGGCATGCAACCCTGTTTTTCAGTGTGTTTGCAGAGTGTTTATCTGCCCTGCACAGTTCATTGTTTCGCTGCCTTAGACCACCTTGCCTTATAGTGCATAAGCTACTTTCTCTACCAGAATACTCTTAATTGGCAATTGTCAGCTTCACAAAGTCAAACAGCAAAGTTAATTCTACACTAGTATTACCACTTACGGAAATTCTTTTGTGTACACCAAGGACTATGGCCTGCAGTGTTTTTCTTGTATGGATTTGCGAATGATATATCGTGTTTGTTTTATGACAGGCACCAAGCAGGCATGTGCGGGCACATGCCACCCAACCACCAGGAATAGGGAGCATTGCACCTTTCTTGAAGTTTTTCTATAATTTGTGAAAAGGGATGGGTTGCATTTGTTACTCTCTATAAACAAAAACCACAAACACATACACATATCCAGTCATGTATTTGCCGGCAACTTCACCGGCAAGTCTCCAATGCGCCATGCACACACACTTACCTTTTATGGATTATATAGTATATATATTTGTGCAAGTGTGCCACTCCGGTGGCAGACGGGTGTTTGAGGTCTTGGCGCTTAACCACACAAACATGGCCAACCTTGCATCTTCTATTACATTTCCTATCTACACGTTCCCTATTTTATGGATGGTTTGTGGATGATTGTGGATGGAATGAGCAGAGAATTTTGTTTGTTTGTTTGTTTGTTTGTTTGTTTGTTTGTTTGTTTGTCTGTCTGTCTGTCTGTCTGTCCGTCCGTCCGTCCGTCCGTCCGTCCGTCCGTCCGTTCGTAAGCCGTCCGCCCGTCCGTCCGTCCGTCCGTCCGTCCGTCCGTTCGTTCGTTCGTTGGTTCGCTCGCTCGCTTGCTTGCTCACTTGCTTGCTTGGGTGCTTTCTTGGCTTCTTGCTTGGCTTCTTGCTTGGTTGGTTGCTTGGTTGCTTGCTGGCTTGGTTGCTTGCTTGCTGGCTTGGTTGGTTGCTTGCTTGCTWGCTTGGTTGGTTGCTTGGTTGGTTGCTTGGTTGGTTGCTTGGTTGGTTGCTTGGTTGCTTGGTTGCTTGGTTGCTTGGTTGCTTGCTTACTTGCTTACTTGCTTACTTGCTTACTTGCTTGGCTTCTTGGTGGGTTGGTGGCTTGGTGGCTTGGTTGCTTGGTTGCTTGCTTGCTTGCCTGGTTGCTTGGTTGCTTGCCTGGTTGCTTGGTTGCTTGGTTGCTTGGTTGCTTGCCTGGTTGCTTGGTTGCTTGCCTGGTTGCTTGATTGCTTGCCTGGTTGCTTCCTGGTTGCTTGCCATTTTCCTGGTTGCTTCCTGCCTGCTCGCTGCCTGCCTGCCTGCTTGCCTGCGTGCCTGCGTGCCTGCTTGCCTGCCGGCCTGCTTGCCTGCCTGCCTGCCTGCCTGCCTGCCTGCCTGCCTGCCTGCCTGCCTGCCTGCCTGC